TGCAGGTTCTCCCTGCTCTGGGTGAGGGAGGGCTGGGGAGGGGGCTGGGGTGTTGCTTTTCCTAATGTACTCATTTAAACTTTGGGATGTGATTGTGTTAACGGCTGGTATAGCCTGGAAGAGTTTGAGCTGGGTTGTGTGCAGGATGAGGCCCCCAGCTTCCTCTTGCCATGGGGTGCCAGGGTGTAGGGAGCTGGGGTCCCCTCCTTTCCAGGGGACCCAGGACCCCAGTTCCTCAGGGTTCCATGGGTGCTGTGGGTGGCTTGTTTTAGGCTTCCCAATGGGGCTGTGCAGCCTCTCCCCCCTCCCTGCCTGCCAGCACAGAGGGGCTGTGCCCAGCTTTGAGTGATGATTTTACAGTCCATGGTTCATACTGGGCTGGATGGGGAGGGAGGGAGCCCATGGGGTCCCAAGGCAGCTTGGTGTGTGGGTGCCCGTGGGTTTTTCTCCCCACTGATGGTGGGTTCTTTCTCCCTGTGCCATAGCTGTGTGCCCCTCAGACCTCCAGCAGCTCTGGAAGGAGGTCACAGCCGCCCAGCCCGTCGAGGACAGCATTAAGCAAGAAGGTCTCGACCTCACCACCAACACCTCCAACTCTACCTCGTTTTCAGCCGCCAAGGTCTCACCTCCCATTTCCCATCACCCTCTGCCCAATGGACAGAGCACCATGCACACGCCGAGAAGGGACAGGTAGAGTTGGGTTGGGCCCTGGCACTTTGTGTTTTTCCCCTGGGGAAGTGGAAGGGGCTGGGATTTGTCACATGTGGGGCTGGCAACAGGGTCGGGGCGGCTGGGGGGTTTCTGTCTACCCCATAAACAAGTCCTGTCGCTGTTTTGCTGTGCCCATGGAGGACAGGGAGCCATCGCTGTGGGGTCTCCCCTGGGTTTGAGGGCTGACCCCATGCATGGGAACGCTGGAGCATCTCAACTGCTCTGTCTGACAGCCTCTTTCCATCTTCTGCAGCTCTTCCCATGAAGAGACCCCCAGCTCCCACCCGCTCTACGGCCACGGAGAGTGCAAGTGGCCTGGCTGCGAAACTCTCTGTGAGGACTTGGGACAGGTTGTCAAGTAAGTTCTCCCCTTTTTTTTTTGGGGGGGGGAGGTTTTCCTGGAGGAGGGATGAGCCTGTACTCTCAGACCAGGACAGCATGGGACTGATGGAGACGGAGACCCTAGAAATGGGTCTGGACACCCCAAAATCTGTCTGCCAAGAGCTGAGAGGCCTCAGGCAAAAGGAGAAAGCACCAGAGATTACTGCTAGAGGAGAAGAGACCCAAAGGAGCGGGCAGCAGGCGAGGGGGGTTTGCAGCCCCCCTCCTGGGGGGGTGAGAGGAGGGGAGGAAGCAGATGGCAGTGGCAGCAGCCCGCTGACACTGCTTGTGGGCTCCGGCGCTGACTGATTAACTCCGCTGTCGAAGAGCCCTCTGCTAGCGTCAGGGTCAAACAAATTGTTTTCACGCTTCGTCAGAGGTTTACTTAATTAGTTCATTTGCAATTAGATCTCTTTGTAGCTGGGATTTTTAGCAAAGACATCAGAAGGAACTGACGGGCTTTGCTTGCCCCCCCCCCCCTCCCCAGTTTCTCTGGCTGTCTGCTCGGCGCGGCGGCCGAGACGCACCAACGTGTGCTTCGCTCTCCATCGGCGAGATTTGGGGGTTTTACAAACTGATCCCATCTGCTGCCATGTGCTTGGGGCCGGCTCCAGTGGGAGCATCCCTTGGGTAGCACCATCCTCCTCATTCCCAGGGAAGGAGCTGGGCAGTGGCCTCGTACAGGAGGATGAGGAGGTGTGAAGGCAGCCTGGGGAGGATTGGGGGAGTGTTGCATTGAGTGAGTCAGGAGCTTGTGTCCTCCTGCCTCTGACTCATGGGGTGAACCTAGATAAGTCATCTCCTCCCACCTCTCTGGGCATGTTTACATGGCATGGGGCAGATGAGCAGAGCTCCAGTTTGGAAGCTGGAACTGGGGTTGGCAGAGGATGGCTGGGGCTGGGTCATAATGCCTGGAGAGCTTTGCTGTCCCAGCTGGGGCTATAGGGTCCCTGTGTCCCACCTGCCTGTCCCCCTAAACACACCTGGTGCTCACAGGAGCAAGCTTCCCAAGGGGCAGCCACCCTGCCAGGACTAGCAAAGTGTTTCTGTCCCCTCTCTGCCAACATGAGTGTGTGTCAGGGTGTGGGACAGGCAGACAGAAAACTTCCAGCTCCCAAAGGCAGAGCCCTTGGAAGGACTTTTGGTGGCCCTTGCTTTGAGTCTGGGCACCAGCTTTGAGCCTCCTCTGAGCATCACCTCTATGGAGTAGAATCACAGAATCATAGAATAGTTTGGTTGGAAAAGACCATTATGATCATCTAATCCAAGCATAAACCCAGCATTGCCAAGTTCACCACTAAACCATGTCCCCAAGCACCACATCTGCATGTCCTTTAGATACCTCCAGGGATGGGGATTCCACCACTGCCCCGGGCAGCCTGTTCCAGTGAGTAGCTGGGACAACCTCAGTGTTGAGGTGGAAAGAGGCAGCACATCCTTTGAGCAGGGGTTTATAAAAGCCTGGGAAGGTTGGTGGGAGATGTCTCCACTCCTGCTCAGCACAGCCAAGGCTCTTGGTAGTTTTTCCCCTGGAGAAGCAGCCGTGCCCTCGGTCTGCCGTGCGGGAGGCTCGGTCCAGCTGCAGCCCTGCGGAGCGGGGCTGAGATGCCGGCGGGGTTTGCTCACATAGGGACTTGGCAGCTGGTCCCAGTTACCTAACTTGTTTTTGCAAGTTGGAACTGGAAGTCTCTCGCAAACAGCCGGGTGAGACTCCTGCCATCTTCCGCATCCGGACCGAGGGTAGGTGCTCCTGAGGCACCTTCTCCTGGGATGTCTCAGCAGAAGTATCTCAGTCTTGGTCCTGGAGAGCATTGGCCCATGACCCTGGGACACCTGTGTGCTTCCCAGCATTGGATGCCACTTTACAGGGTCTTTCTGGGGTGGCCCTGGTAGTTTTTCCTGCTGCCCAGTATCTCTCTCTGATCTGTCCCACTCCTCTGGTGAGGACACCCCTGGGTTTGCATCCACCCCAGCAAGGACACAGCCCAGCCATGTGATGTCTTTGGACTGGGTGCGTCCCCAGGCTGATGCTTTGGTGGGTTCCAGGGGTGAGGACCCCCACAAACCAAGGCCAGGATGTCCCTGGATCTGCAGCAAGTGATGTCCCTGTCACCAGCTGCTTGCCTCTGCCAGGAGCCCTTCCCCTCCCCGAGAAAGAGGAGAGGGTGGTGAGGACCAAAGGTCCTTGTGCTTTATAAACATAAAAGTGCCTTATAAACATGAAGCACTAAAGCAGTGGGATGAGGAGCACCCTGGAAATGTCACCTTCTGCCTTTGGGGGTTTCCTTAGAGGAGGGTGTAAGTAAACCTCCATAATGCCACCTTTGTCCTGGAAACCTGCTTCTCAGGTCCTGCTGGGCACCTCCTGCCAGCAGCCTTCTCAAGGACTTTCCATCAACTGCTGGCTTCTCCTAAACACAATGTGGCTGCCCTGGGCAGGACTGGTTGTCTATGGCCACCCTCCAGCCCAGGGCTTGAGGAGGAGGCACAGCCCAGTTTGCTTGACCACCTTTGTTGTCTCAGTTTCCCTTCTGCTCATCACACTTTGGGCAGCGGTGCTGGAGCGTCCCCAGCGTGAGCAGCACTTCACGGGTGTCCCCAGGTGTTGCTGTGGTACCGGTGGTTGGCAGGTTGGGGCTGATCCCAGGTGTGGTCCTGGCAGAGGGGCCATATTTTGGGCACATTGAGGTATAAACCCCTGTGTTCTCCTCCCCAGACACCTCAATACAGAACATGCACTTGATGACCGAAGCACGGCCCAGTGTCGAGTCCAGATGCAAGTGGTACAGCAGCTGGAAATACAGGTGGGTACTGCCCCCCTCGAAGGACATGTGTTTTGGAAACCATCTTCTTTCCAAATCCCTGTCTTGGCTGCTCTCTGCAGGAGGGGGTTAAAGAGGTTGAGGATGTAGTGAGATAAGCAGTCACCCCAGGGACTTGTTTAAAACATCATCCCCAAATAGTAGTGCTGGTCCTGGGCCACATCCTGGTGGAGATCAAGACCTGGAGGACCCTCAAACTCATTCCCCTTCTGATATCAGCATCCCTGCATGATATATAATGGAGCTGGAGGAAGGGACAAGCCATCCCTCCTGCCCATAGTGTCCCTGTGGGTACAAGGAGGTGCCACAGACCTGGAAGGCACGTACTGCTTGGGGGGTTACATGCCCACAGGTGGGACATGAGCTGTGTCCCAATCCAGCTGTGTCACCACAGCGAGAGCCACAGGGCTGCCAGAATCTCTGGAAATCAGGCCACTTATTTCAGTGGCTGGATGTGGTCTTTGGAGCCCAACTTCAGGGTGCTATTTTTGGAAAGCCAGTTCTTTAAATAGTGCCTTTCCCAGCGTCTCTGACTCCCCGATGTGTCGTGTGTAATTTGGTTAATAGAGAAGGGAGGGGGGGAAGTGGGAGGAAACGAAGGGTTTTCATCTTGGGACTTGAAAGCAGTTGAGGAGGAAAGCGGGATGGGACAGGGGTCTCTGTCAGAGGGTTGCTCACCAAGACCCCCATGGCATGGTGGTGTCTGAGTGCCCGGCTGTTTGACCAGGGGCTGGCAGGAGCTCGACACAGTTTGTGCCCATCATAGTGCACGGCGATGGGCGTCGAAGCCGTACGATCGCATCCTGCTCCCCAGCCCTCGCTAAAGAGAGAGGTTGAAAGCAATTACTGGGGCTTAAAGAGGGGAGGGAAAGGAAAGAAAGGGGGGGGGAGGGGGGAATTAAAAAAAAGCTGAAGGGTGAGCAGAAAGCTGCGTGTGCAGAGAGGAGAACCTGCCACTGGAGCTACCAATTAGAAAGTTTTCAGCGCGGAGCTCCCGCTGTGCCGGCGGAGAGCGTCTGCATCACGAGGGGAGACCTGTCAGCTCTAATGAGCACCACGACAGCGCCAAAGCATCCGAGCTGCTCCAAACTTGCAGCAAACTCTGCTCTGGCTCCTGCCTTTAACTCCTTCCTTGCCCAACTCCCAGCTCCGGTGTCTGCCCGAGGAGGGGGTTTGGCTGGTGGGGTGTCACAGGGATGTGGCCAAACCCTGAGCTTGAGGGGTTGTGGTGGAAAGGGAAGGTGACGGGAAGAGAGCGGGTGTCAGATCCCATCGCTTCCACCGGGCTCAAAATCTCTCCTGGTGCCACAGTGAATATTTCACCCTTCTCCGCACTCCGGGGAGTAAACAGGCGGGAGCACACAATTAAAGCGATGTTACACGTCCAGGTGGATGGATGGACGGACGGACGGAGGGATGGGTGGATGGACAGGGAGCCGCTGGTGAGCGGGAGGCAGCAGAGGCTGGAGGAAGGGGATGGGGATGGCTGGCACCATTGCACCCAGGCAGGAGAGCGAGGGCTGTGGTGGGTGGGTGGCTGGGGCATGTGAAGTGACTCCATTTCATCGTAGATTTTTCATCCGGCTGCACACGTGGAGCTGGAGCAGCAGCCCCTGTTCCCCCCGTGATGGGTGTCACAGCCCCTCACAGAGCTACGGTCCTGCTGGGGCCTTCGGGAGGGCTTGGTGTCAGGGAGGAGGTGACTTCTGTGGGGACACTGGAGGATGCTCAGCTCCTCTGGCCATGGGCACCTCTGTGGTGACAGCCAGCACTGCCTGACCATCTCTCTTCTGTGTCTTGCCCCCTGCAGCTGGCAAAGGAGAGCGAGCGTCTCCAAGCGATGATGGCCCATCTTCACATGAGACCTTCAGAGCCAAAGCCTTTCAGCCAACCTGTAAGCATGTGTCCCCCTCCTGCCCTCATGTGTCCCTGCAGACACCCCCTCTCCTCCCCTTTCCCCTCGCCACTGGCTGCTGTCCCCTCCCTGCCCTGCGCATGGTCACCATGGCCCTGTGTGGTCTGATGGGACCAACATGTCCTGACCACGCTCCAGCACAAGTAACCTGGTTCTTTGTGCTGATGCCAGGCATCAAGCAGGAGTCAAACACATCCTGTGTCAGCCCATTGTGCTGTTCCACCAGCTCGGATGTGTAGTTGATGCATCCTGTCCTGCAGCTGCATCCCCATCCCATGGCTGTGTCCCATTGTGCAGTTGTATCTTCTCCCATGTTTGCATCCCTATCCAATGGCTGCATCACGTCCTGAAGTTGCATCCCTATCCCATAGTTGCATCCCATTCTGTGGGTGTATCCTCTCCTGTGATTGTATTCCCATTCCATGGTTGCATCCCATCGTGCAACTGCATCCCTCTTCCGTGGTTGCATCCCCATCCCATGGCTACATCTCATCCTGCAGTTGCATCCCCATCCCATGATTGCATCCTCCATCCCATGGTTGCATCCCATCCTGTGGGTGCATCCCCATCCCATGGTTGCATCCTTCATCCCACAGTTGCATCCCAATCCCTGCCAATCCCACCAAATCTCCCCCCTACAAGCCTTTCACCATCTCCTTTGCGGCATGAGCCAGCTCAGCCCCACCGAGCTGCCGCTGTGCTGGGGCCAATCCCAGCCCCTGCCTTCCCCTCACTGGTACCCAACCAGCTGCCCTCCCTCCCACCTGTCCATGCAGCTGAACCTGGTCTCCAGTGCCACCCTCTCCAAGAGCACTTCCGACACGTTTCCCGATGGCTTACCTCATCCCCCCACCTCCGCCACGGCGCCCATCACCCCCCTGCGGCAGGGCCCCTCCGTCATCAGCTCTTCCACTTTACACAACGTGGGACCCATCCGCAGGAGAAACTCAGAGAAGTTCTGCACCCCGATATCTTCAGGTGAGCTCTGGGATAGGGCTCAACACCCTTCATTGCATGGTCCCTGGGTCCCAAAGTGGGTCCCTTCACCCCCTGCCCCCCTGTTTCTTGTTCTCCCTTCAGAACTTGCACAGAATCACGAGTTTTACAAAAACGCGGACGTCCGGCCACCCTTCACGTACGCCTCGCTCATCCGGCAGGTGAGTGGGCTCCTCACACCACGGGGTTCAGCTCTGCACCCCGAGACCCACC